ATGGTATTATTCGATTTAATGGTTAAATGCATTGAAAAATACACCATTATGTTGTATTCGGTGTTGTTCTGAGCATTGGCGCAATTAAACCTCACCTTATAATGCTTAATAAAAATCGCACAAGACAAGTGGTATGGTAGTTTAGATCGATATGATACAAATACACTGTAACTCATACACAATATTCCAAGAATTTTTTTCGAGGGCTTTACACGAAGATTTTTATGCTTTTCCTTAATGTTTTTATGTATTTTAGCCCTTAAAATAGTATTGGCGCAATTATTCACACCACTATATTTAATGCTGATTCATCGTCAAAAATCATGGTTTGTGGGAAACTTTCCCCTATATAGTCTGTTTGATAGGTTTGTCATTTTTCTGATATCAATTCAGCTATCTGACAAATACCTATTGATATAAGTATATGTGCTGGATGTAGCATTTACTGATGATTCGTGTTCAAGAGAAACTTTTTCCTATATACCAGGGGTGGCCAAAAGTTTCTGCTCCGTTGGCCAAATTTTCTGCAATTTTTCGAGCCAACTCAAAAAATTGCCGCTCCGCGCAAGGAATAACCAAAAATCTGTTCATCTTTATCAATCGCTATCTCCCAACCATGAATCGCCGTATATCTTACGTTTCATCATTTCTTAGTCAATTGATTTAGAGATAGTTAAATTACCTGAAATCACCATGTTGTTGTTTGTTTATTCCCGCTCAAAATATCAGAAATGCAACAAACTTGCCTCTATTTGTCTTCAAATACCCTGTTTATGACATTCATAGTCTCTGTGCTCTCTAACACAGCTGTTGTTTTTATTTTCAATAATTTCTAATTCAGTTGAATACACTTGGTAATCATATTTTGTTCCCAATAACATCTTTTTTGGAGACAAACGCATGGTATGCTCACTTATTTGATACTGACAAGAAATACAACCTGCTATTTCATGTTGTTCTGTTCGTTTTGCCATCCGTTCGGTTCCTATGAAATCAAAGTGAAACAGCAATAACACCTTCTATTGCAGGCCTTAATACTATCGGAGATCTCTAAAGCGTTACTTTCATGTCCTCCTCTGGCAGTCTCTTATCATCAGATTCCACATCTTTACCATTTTCACTATTTCTCGATCACGCGCATGTTATTGCTTTCGAATGCAATTAAGACATAAATCATTGTTGTGGCCGTGTTTTCACGTGTTCTTTTCAATAAAATTAGTTCTCATTAGAATTATTGAGTGGCAAAATCACCTTGGAACGTAATCATACTCTTCTTGTTTTCAAGCTTAAAATTAGGGATAAAAATAAGGTTTTCGTTTTGTACAGTATTATCGTAAGGTTCAAAAGTATGGCAAAAAATATCGTGATACAGGGATTAAAATGCTTCATATGGCGCTTTTCCTACTAGAAATGCCTAAGAAAAAACTATAGACAAATTGGCCACGTTTGGACACCTCTCCCTTATTGCATTTCAAGAATGTGTTTTTAGAATCAAGTGTCAACGTGATAACTGCTGCAGAGCCATCATACATCTCAAATGCCATTATCTTACTTGTCACATGAGATGTAAAGTTTTCTTAGGTTTTTGTCCATAGTGGAAAACCTAGCTGTAATAAGATTTGTAAGAGTGTATATTTTCATAACAACCCACACAAGCCTAAATCTGATCCATTTCTGATCAAACTGATCCATTTCAGACCACCAACACAATTATAGTAGAATATCCAGTAATAAAAAAATCCAAAACAAATTACATAATATTTTGGTATCTTGCTTATTACGTCATCAAACAGAGCAACAATTGCACCAATGGCAGTCCCAGATGACGTCATCTGTCTCAGGTTGTTTGATCCGTTTAAAACAAGTTTGTTTTGTTTTATATGTTCATGTTGTTGACTGCTTTTCTGTGGAATTTGTCTACGCTCTTGGTCGAAGCGCTCTTGCTATGCCACGCGTACACCATAACAATTGCGGTTGTGCAACTACTGGCAGCCCTGTGGCCCCAGTCGAGCGAAGTCCCAGCTGCAGATGGGAACAGCGAGATCGACCCAAAGGCCCCGCCTGGTGATCGAATAGGCCCTGAGAAAGAAGTTGACAAGGTGAGTCCCGATAAAGAGAAAGACATTAATAAGAAGAGCCCAGATACACAGGAACCAAAGACTAACTCCAATGACAATAAGGTGATTCTTCTGGATGACAGCCTAAAGGATCCAGTCTCTGATAAGAAGCTAGAAAGAAAGCTGAGAAAGAAAATGAAGGCTAAGGAAGCTAAAGAAGCAGCACGTGCAATCAAACAGGCAAAGAAGGAAGAAAAGAAGAACAAGAAGAACCCTGTAGTGTTCATGTGCTCCTGGGATGGTCAAAATGTGAAATTTGAGGATTCACCTCATGTATTCTTGAATGGAAATAAGACCATTACAATTCCAGCTCTTGATTTGAGCAAAGAGGAGATGGCTCGTATCAATGAAGAGACAAACAAGGCATTGAATAAGCTGATGTCAGCTGAAAAGAAAAAGTCCGATACTAAGCAAGTAAGTGAAGTGGTTGATGTGAGGGTAAAGAGTGAAAAGAACGAAAGTGGCTCATCAATGCAAAAATTGTTGGATCCAGAGCCAATTGAGCATCCTCTTCCGATCTATCGCCGTCCCATTCCACATCCAGCTGCCAAGGAGCACAAAAGGACAGCATCAGAGATCTTTACTGAGACAAAGGCATTGTTGGCTAGTTATGAATCTTTTCAGAAGAAAATTCGGGAAGCAATTCAGATTTCTATGGAGAGACCAGAACGGGTGGTTGTACAAGGCCCAGCCCAGCCTA